TAGAAGCATATAACAGCCAACAGTTCAGCAGTTTCATATTTACACATTCCTTATTGTTCTGTGTTTGCAATATAAATTTATTATTCACTGTGATAATTAATTTTTGTGAATATACGAGTATAAATCAAGATGTGTATACTTGCATGTCGAGGTTTTGTAAATTGAAGGGGTGAGACCTGTTTATTGCAAGCACTTCGGTAGAAGGAGAAGCTACTCCTTCTCCTTCAAATAAATATACACACGTAGTTTTTGTTATTAATTATATATTACAATTAGTCTGTTGCGACTTCAATAAAAATCATTAAATCAATTACATACTTCCTATGTAGTGCCAAAAGTGTTCCAATGCTATTAACACGTAGTTAAACAACAAAACTATGTTACGTAATTACTTTGGTTAAGTAAGAATATGCCGGTGATTAAATGGACTGTCTTTATATGTTACAACGTCTAAAATATCGCGTAAAATAGATACATAGAAATTAATAATTTAGTTTAAAATTTTTCATCAATTTTAAACATGCCGTATTTTTCTTTTTCATTTTCTAGTTTTTTGCTATTTTACAGCACTTTAAACTAAAATAGTAAATGAAAATTATTAACAATTCGTATTATTAGTATATACTTAATACGCGGGGCACATAGGCTGTAATTAACGTGTGCCAAGTCAGGGGAAAACAGATAGTATGAGTATATTATAAACTAATAAGAAATTAATGAACATATTAAGACAATTTAATAGCAAAAACAAAAGTATTTTTGGCATCATTTCATGCTTACTTCATCGAATATCGAATTTTACTTTATATTTATTATGGTAAAATATAATAAGCTTCATTATAAAATATTTTTTTCCCTATTAGGAATAATTTAAGAAAGAGTGTTGGTATTTAATATTAGGGTTACTGTTCCATATTTGGTTACTTTCTACTCAATTTTTAATGTAAATCTGTTAACTTTATAACAATTAATCGGCGACGCAAGTTATTTGACGTAGAATGTATTTTTTTAGTAAGAGGTCTATAATAGCAATCAACAAGTATGTGATGAGCTATTCGCTTAATCACTTTTTCTCGCACTCAAATCTTCGATTCAATTCCCTTGGCTCTCTGTTCCAGTTATCGAACTAAAACCGACCATTACTTTAACATATCAAAGTCCATTTTACGGTGTCTGAAAGCATCCTAGAATTTCACTGAAACGAATGACTATTTGTTGCTGAAAAACGAGCTTTAGGTCGTAAGATTTTGGATCGAGGTTTGTTTGTGACGAGTGGGTGTTATGAAAACCGACGTGGGTGTTTAATGGTTGCGGACTGAGGCTTGGAGACAGCTGTCGGTCGATCCCCGGGGCGTCGAGGGTTTTGTTTACAACGCACTCTAATGACGATCCCGCTACCGAGAATCAGAGTGTCTCTACATTATTTAATCGAAAAACTTCTCTAAACCGAGGAATTTTCTAGTAATCTCATTAGCATTATGAAGTTAAGAAGCCGAAATCAAAATAATTTTCCGTATTTTTTTTAAAGTACTTTTGAATCATCAACATTGTTGTAACTACCACACATTCAAGATAAGAAGAACGAACAAGAAACTCACCAGCTCTAACAGAAGTAATGAGTTTCACAAAAACCATGTTATTACCAGATCAATATTAACAATATGAACACAGACAACTTAATCATTTTGTTTTTTTTTTTCATATATTTGTGATTACACATTAGGTAATTTACTTTGCCCCTGGCACTCTGAGATGGAACTCGAACTTTCAAGCTTTTGTTACTGTTTTGCTACTATAGAGCGTATTTTAACGAAAGAAATATTTTAACAAATATTTATACTTTCGATAAAGATAAAAATTTGTTCGAATTATTATATTTGATCAAATTCGCGTTCACAGTGCTATACTGTATAATATTCTTAATGAAAAATGTTTATAAAATCCACTTCGGCGCTGGCACTCTAAAATCGAGCTCGAACCCATGACTTATCGCAAACCGGGCGACTGCTCTAACCACTGAGCTACCCAGGACCGAACAGAACTGACGAATCTTTCAAGAACTTGTTACTTTTTCACTACAACAGAGCATATTCTCAGAAAGTAACCACACATATATTCTGTCAATGCGTCTTGATACTTTGATGATAGGAATACCTGATCAAAGCCTACATAGTATATTGCCATTACTGAAATCCAAGCACTCTATGTAAATGCCAATATATCGTATTCTAAGATACGCGTATAGACTTAATGTAGGGTAGATTGAGATCTCCGCACTGTGAAACGGGTATTGTAAACCCTTAGTACTACCACATACGGAAATATTAAGATTACAAAACTCTTGCTCTCTTTTGTCACAAGCTCTCCGTCTAATATAATGAAAATTAGTCTTCTAAGAATAACTTTCCCTATTTATCACTATATTATAACTTCCTCTTGCAACAGCTCTCACAATATTGTCCATATAATTAACGCAAATTTAGGTAGTTGTGAATTTTTTTTTTGTTTTTTCAACGTACCTTTTTTTGATAAATTATATTACAAAAAAATTAAATTAAATGTTTATATAGATATGAACAAATCACGACTAAACTTTCAAATGCCAGATATACATTTTTTCCTAAACTCTGTTTACTTACGTAGTCTCAAAACAATTAAAAGTTATTTTCAAATTTATAATTATGATATTGATAGATATTTATAGTTAATTGAAAATCTATTATTTTCTTCCAGACACTAATACAATTAAATATAATATTGAGAAGGTACCGATAACTTTCGCTTTTGGTGAAATGAAACTCCTAGTATTAAAATGTCAGCAACAAAAACTTTCTGCTATCGATCGAGGTCCCAACAATACGCCTAAGACTACGTTTCCAATCAAACAAGCTATTATGAACGATGCTTATGTGAAGTACTATTATATACTCGAAATTGGGCCAGTGGAATTTCTGCAATTAATAGCTTATATAATTATTTGATGAATATAGACATGATGAATTTGAAATAAAGTTAGCCAATAGAGAAAGTATTTCAATTTGTTTACACACATGTTGTAGAGCTCAGAAGAAAATATTTCCTTTTATTATTATTTTTTATCAATAAAAACAACTACTGTTTTAGAGACTCATTAAAATACTCTTCCTTGAGAATCTGGTCTTGGAAGTGATCTTTTACGGGTAGTACTTTACAATTTTTAGTAGTAGTACTTTATTTAAAAGACTGGACGTAATTTGAAGCATCTTTTTTAAATAATCTTTTTAAATTCTTATTTGGAGACTATACATTTTTTCTAAAAACGTCACGTCATATGTCTTAATAAGATTAACAAAAGCGTTATATAATGAAAATGTATTCGTAAAAGTAATTCGTATTTTTAATAATGTTAATATTTGCTAGAAAAGCTCTACCTGTGGTCCCCATTTAAAGCGTTATCGATAACTAATCCGAGGCACTTATAAGTACATATCTGTTTCAATCGGTGAACAAATAAATCGTCTTTTGTGAATTCCGTGCAGTTTTCTAGTTTCAATAAATTATCTAAAATGCAGCAAGAAATATTTCAGATCGCTTTTTTTTACTTATAATAAGAACTTCAAGACTGGGCGTAAAGAGAAAGTGAGATGAAATCTATGTGCTCTTCAAGAACATAGACATAAGATACCAAATCATTAGGGTTAAGTAAAAGTTCTCAAACATAGAGTTTCATCATGCTTGAAAAAACATATTAAACCGTTGGTAGCACTGCCTGTCTGTTGTTGCACAATCCACATTGGTCTCGAATGGTGATTCTTAGGCCAGTTTCTCAACATTATGCTCATTGTTTCCGTATAAAAGGTCTATGTCACAATATTGGGGACATTGTGGTAATGATGATAATTCGTTGATTCATTGCATGCCAATGGTCAATTTACAATACTTAATTTGAACAATCAAATAAACAGCCAGTTGCACAAACGTCCATTAAAAATATCATTAGTTATTATTACCCATACAAATTTGACATTCATTAGAGCTTGAAGGTGCCATTAAACCTTAATGGGCGTTTGTGCAGCTAACCGATAATGAGATATTTATTTCGCTATAGAAGTTAACTTAAAAGGTAAATTAATATTGAAATTAACTAGAGAGACCCAAGTTTTCACCAATATAAACTGATTTTATTTCCTATACCAATAGTATCTTACTTTCAATTATGCTAATAGTGAATTAAGTTGCTCCAAAAAACTCTACTCATTTTAATAAACATGTTCTTTCTATATCTATATGAAAGAGAATACTGTAAATAAAACGATAATAGAACATATTTATTAAAACGATCAAATTTTTACAGAAGAGTAAATAACATAAATATAAAGTACATATGTGATTTGTAGTAAAAAATTTCATCTTTAAATTGATAATCTTTAATTTGATTGTGAAAATGACTGGTCTTGTTGCAGTAAAATACAGCATTCCCTTTTAAAACAATCGTTTGACAGAATGAATAAAGCTAAATTCCTATTTCTATTTTTTGGCCGTTTCCCCACCGTCGAGTCGGTGACACGGTGTTTACGTGCCTCAGATGTGTGTTAACCTTTTTTGGCAAACATCCAACGCATTACGGTGGTCTGCGTTAAATTTCCGGAAAAGTTTCAACATGTTAGAATCGGGTGACTTTGATTCACAACCAGCATTCTTTATTTTGATCAAAAGCATTAAAGGATCATGAACTCGACTCGAAAACGTATCCTGAATTACGCTTACCGCCCGGCAAAGCACACGCCCTAGCTGAAAGCTCTGCAGGGCGGGCAGCTTCCTCGGTAAGAGCGCCTCTGCCGGCCGACGACATGTACTACGATCTGAGCGTTGATTGGCAGCATGGCGTGACGTCACACTGCATCGGACCAATGGGGGGGAGCGCGCTCGCGGCCAGCCGCAGTCCTCGTCGCCGCGCCTTCGCAAGAGCCGTGTGTCGGTGTCGCCTCCCCCCGCGCCCCGCGACGACCCGTCTCGCCCGCATTCTAGTCGTGGGTGTCGCTCTGTGCAGTCCTCGCGTGTGCCGCCGAACTTAGTGCGCCGTTTGTGAGTGCTTTAGTTCCCGCTCGAGTATAAGTGTGACGGAGAACCCGGTGACCTGCCGCGGAGGATGTTAACAGCTCACGGTGAGTGATCATGTCGAGTCGACGGACGCTTATCTCGGGACGGCGCCACGTGAACGTGCTCTATTTATAAAATGTAAACATCCCGCTAATTCGATTTGAAACGATATCACTTGTTAAAAGCTAGAGTTCACGTCCGGTGAATGATGAAGTCGCTCTCGCAAATTAACAATGAAGACGCAGGACGGCGCGCGACAGTCGAGATTGACGAGTTCCTGTAACATTACGGATGTGTTGTGTCGTAGTGGCGGCGTAATACTTGGAGGTCTGATTCTATGGAGTTTGTTACTGTTTCGATGACATATTCTGATAGCCTTGGTATGGATCGGGGGTGGTGACAATGATAACGCGACCTTGAGCCGAAGTCTCGCGAAGCCGGCCGGCGCTGGAAGTTCGAGCACACCAAAAATATCCAGACGAACACTGATAACAATATTATAAAATTCACCCTTGATTCTGAAACAGACGCACACAGTAAATAACAATGAAACATTCTTATATTCTTATATTTTTTAGAAGAGAAGCAAAAGTTTGTGAATATTATTGGATAAAAAATCTAATAAGAATCTTGCAAAACTACAACGAGATGAGATAGATCGGTTCACATATTAAGTGACTTGATAAATAAAGCAGATCAGATCAGCCTAACAGTTTTGGATGCGTTTCAATTAAGAACGAGAGAGACTGTTTAAATGACTAATGAAACAATACAATGAGTAATTTAAATGAACATAAACAGCAGCGTTCCTGGCAAATATAATACGGCACCGCACGTATTGAGGAAATCACTTTATCAATTAAAAGGAAAACATTGTCCTCTGCTCCGACTGAACAGAGGCTATTTGGATTATCGACTGTGGCCATTGCACATTTTTATGAGGGCCATTTCTAGTCTGTCCGGTTAAGATAGGTACATACCTCGATACGGTCAGGTTCGAGGCGTTGATATCACACCCCGTTCCACATACTTGGTTCTTTCATTCGCAATCGTATCGGTCAGTGGGTCTGACAGCAGTATACGTACATTTAATTGCAAACTTATCTGAGAAATGAACTCATACGGCGCATTAATTAGTATATAATTCCATGTTAATATAGACACTTTATGTACAGTCTTAAAAACACTAAACATAAATAAATTTTCTTGAATACCATAAGTAAAGAAGAAAGTGACGGAAAAACGATATACAAAAATTATAAGAGATTTGGCATTCTCATTGGCACTTACGCACGGTTGAATGTTGGTAACATCGACGCCATATGTATTTCGCTACAGCGCTATCTCGACCGTATATTTATCATGTGTGCGAGAGGGACGAATGTAATTTGCAGCGTCTACGACGGAGCGAACCGGCCATGCGAGATGCTCAGTCGTATCATAAATATTAATCAGGCGCTGGTGTCAACAGCCACCGCGTAACGTGACACCGCCGCGATCCGCTGCTAGCCTGGTACTCAAAGACGCAGCCAGACGTTTAATAGTAGTAAACAAAGTTTTTAACATCATAAACATAAATTATCTTTTCTTAAAATTTACACTTTAATGAGCTACTGAAACTAACTATAATTTTATAATAGACATAAATAAAAAACCTATAAATGAAAAAAAACACATTTAATACAATTAAACTTCAACTACACTAGACTAAAGTGTATAATAAAAATTATTAACAATGAACTTTGCTTTGATAACAAATAAATGATTAAATAAAACACTTTTTAGCATTTAATACTTTCGAATGAACTAAAATTACGTCAATGTGTATGTGATATTTTAGATTTATAATCTTTCACAATTACTGTGTTATTGACTAGAATATTATCTATTGCATATCCGTTTATGCTTACGCATTCAGCCATGACCTGCCCTATAACTCTACGTCTATCGTAGGATAATATACTCGTAATACTCTTATAACAAAAACAATTTCTTTGTGTAAAGGAGTAAAATTTCTTTTTTGGTATGAAATAAACGATGTGTTATTAGAAACTGTAAAATTCCTTTTTAGTATTATTCAATAAAATATAAACTATCAATAAAATAATTGACATTAAGCTTGTAGTAATGGCTTTCTCGTAAATAATTCACAACTAATGACATATTAAAATCGGCCTTGACGTTAAACGATTTTTAAACAGGTTCCATGGACGTCACAAAACACTAGATACTAGGAATTATATATACTTTAGACCTACATAATATGCACTTACTGATAAATGATACAAGACTTGATCAAATTAGGATCAATTCGCATAAAATCTTTCTAAATAATGATAATCACCGGGCACATGAGCACGGACTGCGTTTATGTAAGGACATAACATTAAAAGATAACTACCGCTGTTGTACGTCCACAGAATGATATAAGCACAAACATACTTAAAACATAATTAAAAACAAGTTACCACTGGAACGGGTACGGCGGGAATAATAAAAGTTTAATTGCGTAGGTTCTGGATAAACAGTGCTTTGAGAGGAATTATACAAAACTAAATGGCAAAACTACTGAATGATATATTCATTCTTGAGGCTTCATACGACATTGCTCTCCAAACGACACAAGAAAAAAGTAACCTGAATATATCATCAAAAAAATATTATAACACTTTATTGTAAAAACCAAACATTACTTAGCATATGGCTCTTAACAATGGTGCAACACTAATTGGCGATCTTATTGCTAAAACCGAAGAATCTTTGCCAGACATCTTTATCAGCCAATGCTTAAAAAATCCACTTTGCCCCTGGTACTCCAAGATGGGATCACAGTTTCTAGTATTGTGAATTAAAATTGATTAAATATTATAACTATCGAAGTTGTTCACATGAAACTATGGCAAAATACGTGTTAAATTTTATTACACAAAACAATATCGAAATCCATAAATCTATTAAATGTAATGATGAGATAAATATAATGCCATAATATAACGATCCTTATATTTAATCCAATAAACCTCATTTCGATAGATGTGCCGACGACAAAACACATTAACATTCATGAAATTAACGAAAACGCGAGAGTGGCGCAAGCGCAGAACAAGATGAGACGAACGCTTTTTGTCGATGCGTGTGAGGCATCTGCGGGGTTTTTGCCGTCGGAGAGTGCACATGTGTGTGTAGTATATGTACGCGGACAGTTTTTTTGCACACAGGTTCGTGTGGCGGGTCGGTCGGTCGAGCACTTGAGATATGCGTGCCGTCGGCGGCGGATTACACATTCATTTTATTCACTTTATTATCAACAGCTACTACTGAGTAAACATTCGTTTATTTGATGTGATGCTTCTTTATCAATCGTGACATCTTTGTAGCTGTTAAAAACATTTGTTCTTTTATTAAATTGTCGCATGTTTTATCGGTCATTATAAGAATAACTATGCCCTGTCTAAAATAATAATCGTGAACACCGTCAAACCATCCCAATTTAAGCATGCAAGCTCCAGCCCTTATAAAGTCATTACTTATAGTACTTATCAATGAAATATACAATAACAGTGATAATATGACCACAGTGTTAGCGCAACCGCGTTAGCGTTGATATCGCTACTGTAAGGAAGCTCATAAAATTCACCGAGCGCCTATCTAATGGAAACACTATCTTGATAGCTATAAGATATACAATCCCGTGGCTCAGATAGGTGGAGTTGTATCACTTGTTCTCTAAACAGCTCGTAATAAGAGTCACGAGTTGTTACGTAATTTGAACAATCTTGTAGAGTTCATAGAGTAGTGCGTTTGGTGTTGTAGCATTAAAATGTTGTACCTTTCCGTCCTTCCGTTTTAACGATTACTATAAGTAAGTTCTTATTGAAATTGGACATCGTTATTTTCTTATTTATGGATTCGGCTAACCGCTCCGCCAAAATACAAAAGTGTCGTTCTGATTGTTTTACTTTATTTAAGATTTCACTTAAAAGCTTATTCTGTTATTTTTGAAATAAAATTTAAAATAATATTCCTAAGTGGAAGTTTGAAATAAACCTCTCTGGAATTGTAGACATTGCTGAGAGCCTGTTCTCTCGTATTTCAATTAAAGAATTCACGTTGTGAAATCCAGAATATGAAATAAAGGTAAATACAGATCAAGCAAATCTCTAACAGTAAATTTTATCTATTTTATTTATTATAAACATTATTCAGATTTATCTATTTGCTTCTCCATCTTGCACCCCCCTCTTTTTATTATATAGTGCATGTCTTTTTTTTCATCATGCCTCGGGTTGCCTGGAAAAGGTTGCGACGTAGCAATAAGGTCAACCTTTGTATTTTATCTCTTTTAATGTCTAGCGTTTAATGAAGAAATTATTTATTATTATAAACTTTAACATACCATATAAAGAATTAAATTTATACCCAAAAGTTCTTCAGCCCTGCATTCGATGTCATCCCAAAACCTCCTTAAAACGGAATCAATCAATTGAGAGATGAAAGGAAACATGCCAAGTTCGAAATTGAAAGCATGTTATGTTTTGTAAGCTAGAAATCTCACTCGTGGTCCCTGTAGTCGTGGCATTTGATGGATGGTTCCTTATCATAAATGATAACCTTCTGGCGTTCCCCCCCCTCCTCTCGCCCCCTGTGGGCAAAGAAACGTATGCATACTGTCTCTGTTCTTATTTTTATAAAAGCAATTGGAACATTTTCGTCAAAATGTCACTTTGTCAGTGTTATAATAAAAGCTGATACTGAAACTTCATTATATGAATAAACTCTTTTGTTACGATTCTGATTTAGAGAGATTACTTTCATTAAACCTATTTTAAAATCTCGTTAATACGATAGCGTTTATTTGTTTGTTCTTCAATCATTTTAAAATGTCTGAACGCATTTAGATGAAGTTTAGTAAACAATCACATGAAAATGAATTCACACATTTCGATATGATTTTTAGAAACTTAAAATACCGCAATATGTTTTTTTAATAGATGGATCTAACTTATAAATAGTCCAATCATTTTTGTTCTGTTCCGTAGATTACCATAGTGTGTTGATTGAGAAA